GAACTAAGAAGTATTACTTGGGTATAGACTTAATGAAAATAACAACAATATTAAATAGACTATGAATTTTGTCGAAAATTCAATTTTTACCTGCTATATGTTTCATCCATGGAGCTTCATTTGCATCAATATTATTATTAATTAATTTTAATACACTACCTAATACTGAATTCATATGATCGGCTGTAACATTTGTTACTTTAGGCCTAAAACGAAAGCAAAAACTGTTAGCACAATCTTTGTACAATTAAAATGTAAAAAACATCTGTTATATAGAGTATATCAAGTCCCGAGATTCAGATATTCTTGCATTCTACTATGGTATAAGTTTCTACTCCTATAGTTCATTGCTTCTTTCCGAGCGTGTTTCACAATCTATTAATATAAGGAAAAAAATGTTATAATCGGTTGATTGTTTATTTTTTTTGTGGTCCCACAGACCACCAATATGGTAAATAAGAGCAAACACATGGAAGAATAACTTCAACAACATAAGGTGCATCTTCATATGTTGCACGTGATTCTGCATGTTCTTCAACATCCGATATAACTTTAGTCAAATGAGGTATTGTTCTTGATACATTTGTCATAACATCTATTTCAAATGAAAATAATTATTATATTTATAAGAGTATTTACCATTAGCTTCAGATGATAATTGTGAAACATTTGATGCATTTTTATTATTTGCATTAAATTCAGATTCAAAAAATGCAACAGAAAAACATGAGGCAAATGAACTTAGACAATCGCCAAGTAATGGACGATGACGATTTAATTCTTCAATAATCCATTCTCTATAAAAACAAATTTATATTTTTTCAAAATAATAATAAAAAGAAAATGAAGTTTACCGATCAACGAATTTCGTTCCTTGAGTACCAATAATCCAAAGAGCATTTAGAATTTTATAACCAGCTAATTGAATTTCATTTTCTAATAAAGAAAAAACACGTTTTGAGCATTAAAAAAACTGTTTTTTTTTGTATTCTTATAGTTACGTCATTTCAGTATATGTGACTCTTCTATCATTTTGTAAGATCGATCATGAAAGGATCATAAATAAGTTATTAACAGCTATTGATCTTCGATCACCTATCCAATAACATGCGGGGGCGGTGCGACCGGGGGAGGGTACCCCCTCCTACTTTCGGAAAATATGAGGGATATTTTCTTCCATTTCGAACTTTGCTTTCTCCCATTTTGAGAAGTACTTTCTCCGACTTTCGGCTCGAAAACTAGCTGTTGATGACAAAAGTCTCCTAAAAACCCAAGTGAAGACCTTTTTTTTTCGCTATTCAGTTTTAAGTTTTTGGGCCAGAAAATTTTGCGAAAAACATGGGTACCGGAGATGAGAGTCTGTTTTTTTGGCTTTTA